AAGCTGCTTTTCCTGGTGCAAACTTGGCACTATGCTATTGATGCACAAGATGGTTATGGTCCTGATCTTGGTAAATGAAGAAGAATTCCCTCTTCATCAGCTGGAATGCCTTCCAGACTACATTTGCCAGGATATTCAGTGATTCTTACAAGTATTGCTATGCTAATACTGCCACATCCTAGGGTCATCATTAATCCCATAACCTAATTTGACTGGCTCAACAAGGACATGTACTGGAACAGTGCCCTGCTATTTCAAATTTCAGTAGGGCATAGAATCACAGAGTTGGAAGGGTCCATACAGGCCATCTAGTCCAACCCCCTGCTTAATGCAGGATCAGCCTACAGTATCCCTGATAGGTGTTTGTCCAGACACTGCTTAAAGACTGCCAGTGAGGGGGAGCTCACCACCTCCCTAGGCAGCTGATTCCACTGTTGCACAACTCTTACTGTAAAGAAGTTTTCCGTAATATCCACCCGGTACCTTCCTGCCCTTAATTTAAACCCATTATTGCGAGTCCTATCCTCTGCTGCCAGCAGGAACAGCTCCCTCCCCTCCCCTAAGTGACAGCCCTTCAAATACTTTAAAGAGAGCAATCATGTTCCCCCTCAACCTCCTCTTCTCCAGACTGAACATTTCCAAGTCCCTCAGCCTTTCCTCATAGGGCTTGGTCTCCAGGCCCCCAATCATCCTCATCGCTCTTCTCCATGTGCTCCATTCTGTCCACATCCTTTTTGAGGTAAGGCCTGCAGAACTGCACTCAATACTCCATGTGCAGCCTGACCAATGCAGTGTACAGTGGGACTATGATTTGGATGTTATGCCTCTGTTGATACACCCCAAGATTGCTTTAGCCTTTTTGCCGCTGCATCACACTGGCTGCTCATATTTAACTTTCAGTCCACCCTTACCCAGGATCTTTTTCACACACACTGCTACTCAGACGTGTATCCCCCATCCAGTATGCGTGTTCCTCATTTTTGTTACCCAGTTGTGGAACTCAGCACTTATCCTTGTTAAATTGCATCTTGTTCACCTCCGCCCACTTTTCCAGCATGTTCAGATCTCATTGAATTCTGTATCTTCTGGTGTATTCACTGCTCCTCCCAATTTAGTGTCATCTGCAAATTTAATGAGTAGCCCCTCCACTCCCTCATCCAGTTCATTTATAAAGATATTGAAAAGTACTGGGCCCAGAACCGAGACCTGTGGCACCCCACTGGACACCTTGCTCCATTCAGATGAAATGCCATTGACAACTACTCTCTCAGTACGATTCTCCAACCAGTTCCCTATTGATCTAACTATCCTGCAGTCCAGTTCACAGTCCTTTAGTTTACCCATCAGAACATCATGGGGAACCCTATCAAAAGCTTTACTGAAATCCAGGTAAACAACATCAACAGCATTCCCTTGATCCGATAAGCTTGTCACTCGATCAAAGAAGGAAATGAGGTTGGTCTGGCAGGACTTGTTGGGGACAAATCTGTGCTGATTTCCCCAGATCACCAAGTTGCCCTTTAGGTTGATCCCTTTAAAATCTGCTCCAGTGTCTTCCCTGGGACAGAGGTCAGACTGACTGGCCTGTAGTTTCCTGGGACATCCCTCCTCCCTTTTTTGAAAATTGGGATAACATCTGCCCTCCTCCAGTCTTGTAGAATTTTATTTTAATATTTATTAATATTATATTATAATTAATTATATTAATTATATTATTAACTAATATATGTATTAAAACATTTATACTTCACCTTTCTTCATGGTTCAAGGCAGCTGAGGATTATTTAGGGCACACACATCTGCCTGATGACTTCAGTGTTCATGTATCTTGGACTCTTCATTAACACTTGAGTCTATGGAAGGATGCTGGAGTGAGTCTGGGGAACTTAAGCCCAGTGGAGTCTGAAACTGCTCCATCTCTCAGTCCTTTGCAAACCTAAGTTGATTAACATAACCTTCCCGCATCTTTGCCATTGTTTTCCTCTGTAGAGTCTTCCTTGGTGGTCTGCCTTCCAGGAAGGAACCCTGCTTAGCTTCCGAAATTGGTCTATACCATGCTGCCTCCCCTCCCTCTGGATCCTTTAGTTCTTGCTAAAAAGGGACAAGTGACTCAATCAGTCTTGAATAGCCTGTCTAGTTGAGCTACCAGAGGTGACCCAAGCCTTCCGTTTTCTGAAGAGTCCCAGTAGTGTTGTCTCAGCTTACTACCTGTATCAATTATGTTTCCTCAGTGAGGTCTGCTTACTTGGAAGCTCAGGATAAGTTTATGGACTATGTAGTAGCCTGGATCTTGAAGTCTTCATGGCAACAAAACTGAAGTACCACTGGAAGTCTGCACTGGGAAGAAAACTCAGGCTCATCTGCTGTCCCCACATTGCATTGATACTGGGCATGCCGAGTATATTGTATATAATGGCCACAAAATATGTGGTCCTAGAGCCTGGTGTAATTTTCCTCCATAGAGACTTCCACGGAGACTTCCAGTGAAGACTGCAGGGCATTTATCCTATTGGAGCTACTTCCATTGCTATGCTCCCCTCATTTTCCTAGCAATTTTTTGTGAATTCCAAGGCATCTTTGAAAGAGAGAATGCCAGGTACATTGCCCCATCAGCCTATAGCATAAGGGCAAGACTCTGTTCAGCTGTATATATTCTGTCAGAGCTAGAATTTTCAGCACTTAACTGTTCCACCAAGGAAATCTGGATAGAGGATTCAGCCTGCACTTGACATAACCACTGAGAATACCCATTACATTTGTAGAAAAGAGGCTATATTATTTGTCTGTTATGACTGATGCACACTTAAACATATTACCAACTGAAATCGTTACCCTTTTTGCCTTTGATTTTGAAGTTTCTAGTCTGGATACCTACTACTAATGTATTTATCAGCCCCCCACCCCTCCTTTGACATTTCAGATGCAAGATCGTGTACTACATTCTAAGTGCTTCTTCCATTACCTTTGGGAGCCACTTGGATAACCATGGCCGTGTATGTGTATGCAGTAATCTTTTTGACTGATCTGGTTGTTGATGTATGAATTAAACAAAGACTGAGTTGCTGGGATTCCTCCTGTCAGATATTGGGGAATCAGTATTTCTGATTCTCAGTGTGGTCAGACCTTTGGATACTTAAATCCAGTGACTGGATTCATGAGCAAACAAGACACATCTTTCTACAAATCTGAAAAACACCCATAATTTGCAGAAACATCTGAAATCTTAAAAGGGGATGGTTAACCAATAATAGAATGAGGTGCCTCGGCTTGCACATACCTAAAACAGAATGCAGCAATTTTTTTTTAAAGGCCGTAAGCAGGGTTCACTGAATAAACGAGAATGGAAACAATTGTTCAGCCACCAAGTCTTGACCTGGGGAGGGCATTCTATCATTTTGGCACCATGATCCAGAAGACCTTCTCTGAAGTTGCCACCCATCTAGCTTCAGAAAGTGGGAGCGCCAAAAGCAGGGCCTCAGAGAATGAACATATTTGTTCATGTAAGTTTGTATGGCAGTTTGCAGTCCTTACAGTATACTGGTCCCGAGCCATTTAGAGATTTAAAGGCCAGTGCTTTGAATTAGGCTCAGAAACAAATTGGAAGCCTGTGTAGATGGGCCATGACTGGATGTGGTCCCTATGACCCTTTCAAAATGTCAGCATCTTGGTTGCAGCACTCTGTAACAATTAAAACTTCTGAACATTCTCCAAGGGCAGCTCCACATAGTGTTCATTGCAGTAATTTAATCTAGACATCACCAGAGCACACTACATTGACCAGGTCTTCTGGCACTTCTGAACATTGTTTCCTGCTTATACAGCAGTAGGCCTGAATCCAGCAGCACCCATAAGCGATAGACCTGCAACCTCAAGGATTATATATTTCAGATTGGTTGATAGTTGCTCAGTTCTCTTGGTTCCAGGGTAGATTGCCAAACAAAGGCCTTTTCATTGTCAGGTATATAGTTTAGCTTTGGTTTGTGATGTTTGGTTTTTATTTTGGATTGTTTTAGTTTGTTGCTAATTAGTTGGATGATTTGTTTTATTGAAGTTGGTATTTTATTACTGTGTTTTCTGTTACTTACCTGTCTTAAGCAATTTTTTTTTATTTGAGGAAGGGGATAAAAATTAGATATTTATCTTGACAATTGCTGTCTCTTTAGTTGTAACAAGGGGAAGTTTCTGTGAATCTTAAAACATCTTAAAACAGGACCACTGTGTCTTAGGCTTGCAATCCTGTGCTAGGGCACTGAACAATTTCTGAATCTTGGCTGAGTGAAGTAGAAAATCCCTTTAAAAATGCAACCAAGTAATTTAGGCATTCCCTTGCACAAGGTGGAAGCATGGACTTGATATCATTTTAGACGATCTCATTGAATGAAGATATATCAAGATAGGTAGCCATGTTAGTCTGTCTGTAGCAGTAGAAAAGAGCAAGAGTCCAATAGCACCTTTAACAAAATATGTGGCAGGGTATGAGGTATGACAAAGGTATAACAAAATGTTGTAGTATATAAGTAAAATATCGGGTAACCTTATCTGTCATTAACACAACAAGAAGCTAACTTGTAACCCTAAGCAAACTTCTCCATAATTTCTCAAAATTTGATGTTTCAAAAAAGCTCCATTCAGTTGTATATAAGAGACAATTGGTTAAGAAATGAATTCATCTATCACCACTGAATGATCTGAAGTTAACATAAGCAAGCAATGACAATAATTTCATAGACATTTTCATGGACATCAGTTTTTATGTCACAGTGTATTCTGATGTGAAATAATAAACAAGCTTTATACTTCTGCAAGATGCTGCTGGACTTGAATACAGCTACAATAAAATCACTGCTGAAAATACTAGACACTATAGCTACCTGGCTCCTAAAATTTGCCAAGCCCTGTTCTAAGCTTTAGATATGACAATGTTAAATGATGTTTTAATAATAATCAATGGCAAATTATTCTGTTTTGAATTGAATGATCACTATTCTTTTTCTTGTTAGCACCTCAACCGCAAGTTATTGTGCCAGACTCCAAGCTGATACAGCACATGAATGCTTCAAGCATGGTAAGATTATGTCTGGAAGACATGCAATGTCCTAGGACCAATGGTTTATGAACAGGTTTAGTTGTATAGTCTGCATAAAGAAAAACTTAACTTTTACTATGCAGATTAACACTGCACCATATATATGATGATTTAACCTTTATTACCATTCTGCAAAAAAAAGTTTGAGGCAGCCATTAATTCATATTTAATGTTTAACTTTTTAAATCTAAATAGCATGAACAGGTTCACAGCGTAATGAGTTACAAAATAGAGAAAAACAGTGATTAATGGCTGTCACTTATATGCAATAATGTTTCTAGAAATTATATCTATAAATCAAATGTAGTTTTAACAATCATGTCAAAAAGTTTAATTGACAATTTTATAGCTTGCACATCATGAACTTATTTACAACCTGTGCAAAATTCAATAAGTTTAGACTTATATTTCACAATGCTTGCACATCATGAACTTATTTACAACTTGTGCAAAATTCAATAAGTTTACTTATATTTCACAATGTGGACAGAGTCAAAAAATTACAGCTGAAAAATAGTTCAACTGGATGTATGCACACAAAACCATAAACTAAATGATAAATCTATCAAAATAATTTCACAGTTCCAATTAACAATTCCAACAATTATGTGATAGAAAACCATAAAGGATAAAAGACACTTCAACTGACAAGCACTCAGGTTTCTGCTCGTTTGTCTTCTTCAAAGTCAAACCAGCTTCCATGATGATTACAAACTGTAGTCTGGAACTTAATACAAAACAAAAAACCCACTAATAATACATAGTTTTTTAAATCTAGCAGAATATTTTGTATATCACAGTTTTCATCATTAAAATGAAATATTGCACCTAGAGTAAGAATCTTTAAATATGTTAGCTTTAAGAACCTAGGTCTGCTGGTAGTCTAACTGGGAACTCCGAACACCCTCAGAATACAATTTGCTAGTCATTTTGGTTTTACACATACCTGTTAGGATCAGCAATTGAACTGCTTTTCTTAACTTGGTTGTATTCACTATATATCATCATCTGACCAAGAGTGTTCATTTCATTCATAGAGTCTTTGTGAATGGTAGAGTAAATAAATTTTCCTATCTTATACAGAAGAGAACAGATCTTATAGCAATGATGTTTTACACTATACATCAGGTCTTTTTAAAATCAAGAACAGAGGATTACACTTATTGCTAGTGGCTTTAGAAATCCTTTCTCCTTGAAGTAATACTCGAGGTGGGAGAAGGGCATAATAAGAGTTTGAATACAGAGAAATACAATGAATAGAATACACAGATTGTACTGCTGTACAGTTTTAAATTTAGTGTATAGTATAATTGTTTTTTTCTACTAACCAGCTTCTTTCCTTTCAGAGTGCTGCTGCTACTGCAGCTACTTTGGCTTTGCCTGCCGGTGTTACTCCTGTTCAACAGATTCTTACAAATTCAGGTAATTTATTTACAATATTTTCATACCACCTTTCAGTATAAGATACAGTATAAAGGTAAAACAAAGAATACTGTAAAACAATTAAAACTAGAAACCCAAACTCTACATTAAAGCTGCAGATACATAAGTAAACGGCTTAGAACAACCGCTCAAAATATAAGAAAATACAAAATTTTTCCTGTTGTAAAGATGAGAGAGCCAAAGGGCATTCCAGATTTTTGGAGCTACTTAAGAAAAGGTTTGTATCTGGTGGCTAGGCTACTTTCTAGACAAGAAGGTTTTTACAGCAAGGTTTTGTAGGCAGGTCTTAAAATGGAGAGGGAGTGTTGTATGGGGATGAGATTTTCCCTGTGCTAAGTCAAGACTTGGATTGTTTAAGGTTTGTAGCTGAAAACCAGCTCCTAAATTTATCCTGGAAACAAGCTAGACAGCAACAATCAAGTTAGGACAGTGGGCTGATTTGTACCGATAAACCATCAGCTTGTTCAGATTTGTGAACTGACTTCAAGGGTAGCCCCCAAAAGAGAGTGCATTGCAGCTGTGTACTCTGAATGTCATCAAAGCATTGATACAGTGGTCAGTTCTCTCTTCCAGCAGCAGGAAGAACAGGCAGAATCCAGAAATAATGCTACCCCCCCACACACTACAAATATGGCTGTCTTGGGAATGTATTAACCAGATTCTGCATTTTGTTCTCATCCCATCTTTGTTTCAAAAAAGGCATTGTATGTATAGCATTTCCTGTAGCATATGGGGGGAAGGATTTTAGCATGGTTTCCTGTCAGAATTGTAACTTGAGTGGGGAAAAAATAGCTTCATTAATTCCCGTTTTGTCTTTTTTTTTTTTGAGAAAGCTCCCTTTATGAGGTGTGACCCTATTATGGATAGACTCTTTCCATGCTAGCAAAGTCAGTCCATGGATAACTTCACTATCAGCTCTGCCTGAAATCACCCTCACCTAGTCTTTTACTGAGATTCACAGCTGAGCAATCAGGAGGGAGGTGGGTGCAAGCAGGCAGGTTTTGCCTCAGAACTCTGAGCTACACAGTTGAGCAGTTGGGGCGTGGGGGGCAAGGAGGCAGCAGCCTGCCAGACGCGTGGAAAAGAATTGGGGAAACACATTTTGCCCCCTTTTTATCCTCTTAAGGGGCCGTGTTTCTCAGAAATCTCTTTGTAGTAGGGGTTGATGTCATAGTAGGACTGCGCTCCCCTTATTTTGGGTTTCTTGATGCAGGGGTTTGGCCTGGGCAGGGGTTTGGGGGGGAGGGTGTGCAGGGCATACCTTTTTTTTTGCAAAAATGCTTATTTATGTTAAGAAGTGGGACATAACTACATGTTCAAAACAACATCCAAGCAATCACATATTAAGCAAGTTCATATGAACTAATTTTCTAGAACCCACATTGTGAGAAGTTAAATAACCTAATACAGAAAACCACTTTTCTACAAATTTGGGGTATATTTCCATAGTGGGTGGGAGTGTGGCTATTGGGGAGGCTGGGCTAGCAGCATCACTAAGATGATCCTGCTGGGGCAGCCTCCCTGATGGATTAAAGTACCCTGGCCCTGCTCCTACACCTGACAAACACCCGCCTGTCTGGTGTAAGGGGGAGGGGAGTTGTATTTAAAGGCATTGGGAAGGCTGGGCCAGCAGCAGCTCTAAGGCAGTCCTGCTGAGCAAGCCTCCTTGATGGCTTTAAGGACTCCATGCCCCTTCCGACCCTTGACAGGCAGTTGTCTGTCAGTTGTAGGAGGGGTAGCATGTATGAAGGCATCAGGGAGACTGGGCCAGCACGATTGCTAAGGTGAAGCTGCTTGGGCGGCCTCCTCAATGGCTTTCAACACAGAGCCAGTTTGGTGTAGTGGTTAAGTGCGGGGACTCTAATCTGGGAGAACCGAGTTTGATTCCCCACTCCTCCACTTGCACCTGGTTGGATGACCTTGGGCAAGCTGTAGCTCTTATAAGAGCTGTTCTTGAAAAAGGGCAGTTTCTGTCAGAGCTCTCTCAGCCCCACCTACCTCACAGGGTGCCTGTTGTGGGGAGGGGAAGAGAAAGGAGTTTGTAAGCCGCTCTGAGACACCTTTGGGTAGTGAAGGGTGGGGTATAAATCCAATTTCCTCCTCCTCTCCTCCTCCTCCACTGCCCCTGACAGACAACCACCTGTCATGTGGAGGAGGGGTGGGTGGGAGTGTGTCTAAATCCATTGGGGAGGCTGGCCCAGCAGCATTGCTAAGGTGTTTCTGTTCAGGCAGCCTCCCTGATAGATTAAAGTTCCCTGGCCCTGCTCCTACACCTGACAGACACCCGCCTGTCTGGTGTTGCGGGGAGTGTGTTTAAAGACATTGGGGAGGCTGGACCAGCAGCAGCACTAAGGCAGTCCTGCTGAGCAAGACTTCTTAGTGAGCATCTACGTCATGGTAGGAGTGCTCTCCCCAAATTGTGTGTTTCTAGGTCCAGGGGTTTGGCCTGGGCACTGATTTTATGGTGAGGGGACTTTCTTTTATGTATATGTAGATAAGAATGACAATGGTGTGGCTATAACGAATGGAAATTACTTGGTTGAGATGCCTGTAGTAAAGCTTATGATTAGAGTTTCACTTAAGACAGCAAAGTGTACCATATAGTCATAAGAATGGCTAGAAAGAAAGTTGATGTTGAAACATGCACAGTAAGATATACTAAAAACAGATCTCGGTATTTCATCAATTTAACTAGCCAAGAGCTGTTGACTCCACATTTTAATTTTATATATAATGCTTACACTGTTTAGAATGATTGTTCTAAACATCTAATGTGAGTCCCCTTAGTTGCCTTTCTTTTTGGAACTGTCAGGTGGGAGAAATTGCTAGTAGGTGCATGGCAAACTGTATCACTTTGCGTAGTATTTAATGAAATTTAAATTGCAAGATGTTATAATGGCCCATAGAATCGCCAAGACTCAGACACAACTGAATAGCTAACAACAAAGGCAACATAATGGTCACTAGCATAGAGGGCTTTAAAAAGAGATTTCCAGTCTGGGCCAGGGTATACCAATGTGCCTCGAAGAACTACACTACCAAATTTATATATCCAAAACTCCAGTATGATGCCCCCTTCTCGGACAATATGTGGGTAGTGACATCATGCTCATAGAGGCATTTGTACCGGGATTGCTACAGCTGAGAGGTATAAGAAAACCCCGAGGACAGACTGAGCAGAAAGGATAGTGGAATGCCAGATGGCTTAGTTGGACTGGACTGTCTTGTGGTTGCAAGGAAGATGTCTGCCTGTTCATGATGTTAATTAAGAAATTACATATGTGATGTTTTCAACATATGAGTGAACTGTACTTTAAGTTACAGTACAGAAACCAAACTGCCTTAGGCACCAAAATTATGGAGAACACTGGATTAGACAAATCAAGAGACAATGGTTGTAGCAACAGCTGTTTGCCATGAGAACTAATTAAATCTGGTCTACCTTTGACTATTTTATTTATTGATGCCCTGCATGGAAGTTTTTTAAAAAATCTGGGTAGCAACTGGGGGCAGGAAACGACATGCAAAAGGGCAAGGCCAATAAGGATAGTTGATTTATAAAAAAAATCCAACATATTTCACTAACCTTTATTGGACAATTAATTTAGTATTTAAACTTTTACATAACCTGGTAAAAATGCATGATTCTCAAATATGTGGACTCTTAACAGCTGAAGATCGATTATACCTATCTGGATTTTTTTGTTAAATAATTCTGCAGTACATTGGGTTTGCCTCTTGTGTTTTTCCTGTGTTTCAGTTCATGCTTGGCTGCTTTTTTTGATTGTAGGTGTTTCTGGAGACTGCCTGCTGTGCTAGATGAACTATTGGGCTCTGTCAGTTCACTATCATATGAGCTGCCTTGCAGGCATTCAGATAACTGACTCACTGGAACAAGCAAAGGATTGTTTGTAATGGGTGTGAACCTGGCTTGTCACGCTGTCGTACTCATCCCTCCTCTTGCATGCAGAGTGCAACTGAAGGCTTCCTAGTTTCAGAAGCTTTGAGTTCAGCTTGTTTCTTATAAATTCCAAATGCGGGGAGCTGGTCAAATAACAATTTGCATCTTCTGAGACTAGAATTCTTAATTCTGGTTTACTTTTGATTTAGAATTCTGGTTTGTGGCAAATAAACTCTGTTCTTACCAGCTGATCACATTTGGATGTCATTTCAAATTGATCTTTGAAAGCTTTTGAAATGCGGGAGACTTCACTTGACCTGCATTGTAAAACAATGGGAAGTAAGAAGCATGGCAACAACCCAGGTTCTTGCCTGCAACGCTGCCCTTGTCTGATGCAGTGAAGCAGTTCATATAGTGGGAAACTGACGTGCTGCTAGAGAGTCATAGAAGCATTCAATCAGAGTTAGCAGAGTTAGCTAGTTCAGTTGATATTTATTCAAGGACTTGCAGAGTTTGTATATATTTTCTTGTATCTAAACTACTTGAGCTCCTTTGTTGTGTGATTTGCTTACTCAAGGGAAGGTCACAGGTTATTAACTGAAATATTCAAATCTTGTTCCAGGCCAAATTCTGCAAGTGGTTAGAACTGCCAATGGAGCACAGTACATCATTCAACCCCAACAGCAAGTGGTTTTGCAGCAGCAGGTTATACCACAGATGCAACCTGGTGGAGTACAGTCTCCTGTTATTCAGCAAGTAAGATGATTAGGGCCAACTAAATGAGATCTCTGAATCTAAATCAGGAAGTGTGTTTTAGTTTATGTTGTGTGTGCCAAGATTTGCATTGTTTTCCTAGTTTGCTGGTTTCTTTTTCACTGAAGTTGAGAATTGACTTTCATCAAAGATTAAAACCCAGTGAAGCCTCTAAAGTGAAAAACATGTGGAAAAACAGTTTACACTTCACTGTTGCTGGTGGTATGATGCTTGTCATTCACTTCTTTTTGCACTTCTGAGTAATTAAATGCCAGTGTGATGAGAGGCAGTGCTGAAGTGAAAAAAAAAATCTGCTATATTTGCCCAAAAGGAAGATGACACTGAATGTGTCATGTTAAACATGCTAAACACAGATTTTTTTTTATTACTGTACATTTTTGTATGTAAATATAAGAAGAAGAAGAGATTGGATTTATACTCCACCCTTCACTACCCGAAGGAGTCTCAGGGTCCCTTCCCCTCCCCACAACAGACACCCTGTGAGGTAGGTGGGGCTGAGCTAGCTCTCTCGAGAACTGTCCTTGAGAGAACAGCTCGGAAAGAACTCCATCTGACTGCATTGGGTATGAGGTAGCTTTGTCCAGAGAAGTGTTAATCACTGCTGACTGGAATGTTGTCTATGAAGTTGATTGCTGTGTTGGGGTAAGTGTGGAATGGATCTCTTAATTAGTGTTAATTATACTGGATTATAAATATTAACTTGCTGTGTTTATTTTTTTAAAAAAAGCACTTGGAGCTATTTAATACCTCTCCCTACCTTATATTCACCAAACAGCTGCTGCCTGACAGTCAAGGAATGTTTGAGCTCAGAGTGGGACACAGCACAATAGGATACAAAAGAAAGGGGAGTTGGCAGAAATCTCTCATGCACTGGTTGTGCATGAGGTCTAGCTCTGTTGGTAGAAGAGTTCACACAAAAAGGAAGGACATTATGTCTGCCAGTTTCCCTCTTGCACTGCAGCCCTCCATGTTGCATCTCACTTTGTTCTTGAGGGTCATTTGACCCTCAGGAGCAGATTTTCTGTGTGAAGAGTTGGTAAACCTAGAGCTGGAGCAGTCCTCTCTGTGATTTGCTAGTATGTGAGTAGGTTTAATATTGTGTGCATTTGTAGATGCAGATAGCAACAGTGAAAAGTAAGGATTATATTGTCTTAACCCATAATTTAATATAAGGTTTATAATAAATAAAAAGCTTGGTTTCAAATGACTGTGGTGTTTTTCTTTTTTTACTGCTAGGTTTTGGCTCCCATTCCTGGAGGGATCTCACCGCAAACAGGCGTAATTATTCAGCCCCAGCAGATTTTATTTACGGGAAACAAAACCCAGGTAATACCTACAACAGTGGCTGCACCTACACCAGCTCAAGCACAGATTCCTGCAGCGGGTCAGCAGCAACCTCCTCAGCAACCAGCACAACCACAGGCACCTTTAGTGCTGCAGGTAGATGGAGCAGGTGACACGTCATCTGAAGAAGATGAGGAGGAGGAAGAAGATTATGACGATGATGAAGAAGAGGACAAAGAAAAGGATGGAGGTGAAGATGGCCAGGTTGAAGAGGTAAGATCCATAAATGTTGAGTGTGTGCTTCAAAGTACCTTTCCTGTTCCTATAGATAGTCTATTTAGCTGTAGCTTCAGCTGATCATAAAAAAGCAATTGATCTTGATGACATGTCAGCTTTCAATGGAGAAATTACAGATTGTATTAACAAAAATCATCTTAATTGTGTTTTTTCTCCCAGTTGATTTGTACATGGCCATGCAAAAGTATCTAGGTATGATACAGGACTTGTATATAAATACTGTTTACTGTAATTTGATAATAGTCCATTAATTTCTTCTAGGAACCTCTAAATAGCGAAGATGATGTGAGTGATGAAGAAGGACAGGAATTATTTGATACCGAGAATGTTGTTGTGTGCCAGTATGATAAGGTAATAATTTTAACAGTAGGGTTCCTGAAACCTTAGCCACTGTCTCAGCAAAGTTTTGGGTTGAAGGAGTCTCTGTAGCTTTAAGCAACAGATTCCTTCAGTGGCTGTTGCTAGGCAACCACAGCATTCCAGGCTTCAGTTTCTGTCAGTAAAAAGCAGAGGGAGGGGGCAGGGCCCTTTCCAGGCCTATTTTGGCCTTCGAGGGAGAATTCAGTGGGGCCAAGCCTGGCTTTGGTTGTCAGCTCCAAGTTGGACAATTCCTGGAGATTTGGGGGTAAAGTCTGAGGAGGGCAGGGTTTGGGGAGGGGGAGAGGCCTCAGCATGGTATAATCCAGGGGTGGACAAACTTGCTTAATGTAAGAGCCACGTAGAAAAAAGTCACATGTTTGAGAGCCACAAGACATGAACACATACTTTTTTCTTGAAAAATATACACATTTACATATTAAATTAAAGAGACAAATGCCTTCTCCGAGCCAAGCCAGTCTGCTGATGTAGCGGGGCTTAGAGAACGCATTTAACTTTAGATGGGGAGGGAGGGAAGAAAGACAGAAAGAAAGATGGAAAGAAAGCAAATAGATGGGAGAGGGAGAGGTAGAAAGAAAACAACTTTAAATTTAAATGCATCTTGCAAGCCCCCCATGCTGGCTGGCTTGGCTTGGAGAAGGGATCTAAAGACAAACACCTCCCCCAAGCTGGCGGGGGGGGGGGGAGAGAGAGAATGCATTTAAAGTTGCTTTCTTTCTCTGCTTCCCCCCCCCCACACACACACACCTCAAGCCTACCCAGGGAGGGGAACACTGGCTGGGGAATGGAAAACTTTGCTTCCCCAGCCGCCCTGCCAGGAGCCACATAATATGTGTGAAAGAGCCGCATGTGGCTCCTGAGCCACAGTTTGGCCACCCCTGCTGTAATCCCACAGAGTTGACTCTCCAAAGTGGCCATTTTCTCCAGGGGGACAGATCTCTGATGTCTGGAGTTCAGTTGTAATTATGGGATAGTTCCAGGTCCCACCTTGAGGCTGGCAACCATTAGGCCTGACAGCAGCCTCTGAGTGACTTGATACTATCCGCCGTGCAGCCACCCTATGAAAGCCAGTGTGGTGTAGCAATTAGAGCTTCAGAGAAGGGTCGGGGAGACCCAGGTTTGAATCCCCATCTTGGTATGGAAGCTGACTGGGTGATTTTGAACCAGTCACATACTTTCACCCTAACCTTACCTCACAGGATTGTTGTGTGGATAAAAAGGAGGCGAAAAGAGTAACATAAGCTTGCTTTGGTCTCAACTGTAGAGAAAGGTGGGATAAAAATAATAAATATAGCTGAAGGTGGGAAGCAGATAGAAGGTAGGTTCGTGAATGGCTGAGAAGGAGAGAATGAGGCAGGTAAAGGGGAGAGGATATGGGAGTTGCCAGGGGGAGGGAAAGAAAAAAAGAGGAAATAGTGTAGAGAGGAGGAAAGTGAGGTGCGAACCCACAAGTCCTTGAGGGTTCCTTACCATGCAAGCAGGCCTTGCTCTGTGGCCAGCACCACACAACCAGTCCACAATCTTTCCAGGGGGTGGGGTTGAGAGAGAGAACTTAGGACAGAGGGGTTGATAAAGATAGGTTGGTTGTTGGGTGGGAAGGAGACTGGGTTGCCAACTCCAGGTTAGGAAATTTCTGGAAATTGGGTGGGGGAGGTTGAGGAGGAGAGGGACCTCAAGAGTGGTGTAATGCCCTCTACCCTCCAAAGCAGGCATTTCCTACAGTTGAACTAGGGTTGCTAACCTCCAGGTGATCTTCTGGAATTACAACTGGTCTCCAGACTACATAGATCAGTTCTCCTGGAGAAAAAGACTATTTTGGATGATGGACTCTGTGGCATTATACCCTGCTGAAGTTGCTTCCCTCATCAAACCTCACCCTCCCAAAGCTCCACCCCCAAATTCCTAGGAATTTCCCAACCTGGAGATGGCAACCTTAAGTGAAACTGATCTCTGTATCCATTGTGATTCCTGGAGAGCCACTACCACTGCTGCTGGGGAGAGGGAGCAGGTGGGTGGCTGGGAGTGCTGCAGCAACCACTACTGCTGTAGAAGAGAGGAAGCGCAGCACAGGAGGCTGGGAATGTTATGGAGGGCATAAAGAGAGAGCAATGAGGTGGGGGTGGGGAGGCAGAAAAAGAAAGAGTGATGAGGCGGGGAGGCAGAGGGAGTTAGTGGGGTGTGGGGCAGAAAGTGAAAGTGACACACATGGAGGAGAGAGAGAGTGAGAAAAGTGGTGGCAGGAGGGAGAAAGACTGAGAGAATTGGGGGGAGAAGAGAGGAAGCAAAGGGGGGGGAATGGAATAGCCGCTTCCACAAGTTTCTTTTGGGTCCCCACTTATATATCTTATTAGCAGAGTTTGTGTTTTTCTAATGTACGTTGCTGATTATTAGGGCTGCAACATTTTAATCATATGAATGACTATTAATATATTGCCCCCAATTAATCAGCCAGCATGCTTTTTTTTTTTAAGTAATGTTTTAAAGAAGAGTGCATAACATTGCAGGTGGGTGTTTCCATCTTAGAAGAAGAATTCTCTCCTGTGCATGAGAGAACGGAAATCTCTCCTTAATAATGCTACTCTACATCTCATAAGTATTTCATCTAAAACAGGGTTTTTTTGTTCAAAGCTGTTTTTAGTCTGAAATGTAATAAAGACCCGGTTATTCAACTATGATTTTTAATTGGGCAACAGCCATGCTGATATCACATAGTACATGTGTATAGAAAGCAGTTGATTTGGGTGCTGAAAGACTCTGTGAAAATACCTCTTATTGAGAGAATTTGAAAGATCCTAGCCAGTTTAGTCTCTTACCTCTTAGTATGCTGCTCTGTGTCATGTCACCTTAGCAGTAGTGGTCATACTCCTAAATGTCATCCTTTAGATTGAATTTGCCCAAGTAGACTACTTGGATCTGTAAGTACAACGGCTCTTCTGTCAGTTCCTCTTGGAACTAGGAGACAGTGTGCTGCCATGGCACTGCATCCATCACACACAGCAGCCTGTCTTTCATTCTATTACAGTGTATAGAAACACTAGCTAGATAGGTTCAAAATTGGTTTTTAAAGTAAGACCTGGGATGTTTCTCTTCAACTTTGCCTTTCACCTTCACAGATTCATAGAAGTAAGAACAAGTGGAAGTTTCACCTCAAAGATGGCATCATGAATCTTAATGGAAGAGATTATGTATTTTCCAAAGCCATTGGAGATGCAGAATGGTGAAGGGTTGTCATACAAACTCAGAGCAAAATGAAAAAGCAGAAAAGGTTAAGACTCAGACATATACTTCAACAGGAATTTATTTCTGCGCACCAGAGAGGAACAGTAGAACCAAGACTACTAGAACAAAGAAATAGCATGGCAATGTAGACACTACTTCAAATGGGAAAGCTGAGGCATTGATGCAGCTAGCTATGCCTGAAAGCTGGTTTTGTATGAATACCTTAATTAACCACTTCTACCTATAGATAAAGGTAACTAGCATGTGAGGCTTAAAACTCCCTTTCCACTGATTTGAAGGAACTCTTCTATTACGGTAATATGGAAAAAGCTTAGTGTGTCTTTGTGTAAACTGTGCTGAACCATTCCCTCTCGGAGTGGGTTGGTGAGAATCTTGCTTAAACTGTGTGCAGGCTTCTAACCAGATGGTAAGAACAGAAGCATTGAGTTCTAATTACCTTGTATGAGTAAACTATTTTTAAATCTCTTGGGCTGGGGTCATGCATAACTTTACAGTTTTAGGCCTTTTATATAAATCTTTGATCCCAGTACCAAAAGATGTCATTTGTATTTTAAAGGCAATTTAATAATTCTGAATGTGTTGATAATTCAAAAGGATGTTGTGCTTTTTAAGGACCTGCAGATGGCAGCTGAGAGACAGAGTGCTATCTCCTGCTCTTGCAAAGGAGTTCTCTAAAGAACAGCTGAACAAAGTGGGTCTGTGTACTGAAGGCTAGTTGAAAGTCTTTAAAAAAAATCCTCCTATTAACTTAATGTATTCCCATTGCCCAGTGAAGGTGTGCTGCTGTGGGGACAAGTTCAAAAGTTCCAGGTGACTCTGCACTTTGGAAGACGGTGTACAGCATTGAAAGAGCTTCCAGTTTCCTTTGAATTTTTTTTTGTGGGGGGGGGGGAATCATAATGACTCGGTAAATACAATCACACTAGGTCCAATAATTGCATAAGTAATAATGGCAATAAATAGCAGGATGTTGTTGGAAGGTTCTGTGACAGTAGGAATGACTCTTTGGAAATCTGATTTGTAGGAATGTGGGATCTCTTCACTAATGGGGTGGGGCTGAAATTCAGCCATCATTGAGAAGGACATGGACTTCCAAGTGATTTACCATTACAGGGTAGATCAACAGCGTATACATTGGTTGTCTGAAAAGCAGTGAAGGCCAGGAAGACTGAGTTAACAAATGGGGAGAATGACAGTGGAACACACACACCCCAATCCAATTTCTAAAACTTCTGTTCTTGTGGAAAATGAAACTTTTAAGTATTTTTACTAAAGAAAATTGCCAGTATGTCTAATCAGCACTGTGTACTAGTTCTATATGTTATCTCCCAAACTCTCTTTGCATTTCAGTCTTGAGTGCATTGTTTCTGCTTACAGGAAATCTATTGTATGTTGCAATGAGCAGTTAGGTTTTTCTATGCCCAGGGTATTGATAAAGCTGGCCAAATCGTCTATTCTGTTGTATAGTGACATATGTAAAACATCTGAATTTTTATACCATGTAAACATAATTGGGTTTTTGCTTTCTGGTCATCTTAACTGCCTGCTGAAACTGCAGTTCTCTTTGGCTGCACTTTTGGCTCAGGACTTGAAGATGTATTAGTGTGTAAATTGTTTATTCCCACTGTGTAAAACAAGGTAGATTTTTGAAGAAAATATACCACTACGTAACATGCCAAGATTATGTGACTATATGGAAACTAATTGCCATCTTCCCTTGCATCTTTCTGTATCTCATGGCCTGTTACGGTATAATCTTGCCTTTTAATTTGACAGCACAGGTTTAAAACCAATCCCATAAAGCTGCACTGTGAAGCCCAGCATGACATGACAGTTTACTACTTGTTACTGGAACCCAGATACTGTACAAATGTGTTCGCATTGTGTACATCATGGGCACTAAATAGCTGCTTCTTTCTAGCCTTTTTATTTATTTTAAAGGATACCACAGCTTTAAAAGTGACTTACAAATAGGTCTATATGGAGCAGGCATAGCGTCTTGCAAGTTACCTATGGGTGTATGCATTGGTTGATGAGGGTGTTTTAACAAGAGGACCTGTGAAGTTCTTGTGAAAGCCAGTCAAACGTACCAAACTTGTGCTCTTACTTGCTTCATCAAGTGTTCCTTTTTAAATCAAAAGGCATTTTTAATTTCATTTTATTGTAGCAGCTTGCTGTAAGAATGTAGTTTGCTTACACTTATTATGTACTTGAATTTTAATCATGGTTTTAAAATTGTAATTGAACAGACAGTTTTGTTTGGCTTCCATTACATCATCATTCCTTTTGTGAGGGCAAGGGATTCCCATAGCTAGTCCTAAAGCTTCATGTAGCTCATTTTCTTTTGCTTAGATCTGGAATTCGTTTTAATTGAAATACTTAATCAGTTATCTCTACTTTTGAAGCAATTAAAGGTTTGCAAGAAGGGCTTATGTTTAGATTTGCACAGATAACAGGAGCACCTTTTAACTTTTAAGATGTATGTGTGGGGGGAAGTGGAATGGAGAAGACAACTTGTTAATGCTTTAATCAGGCTAATGGAGATTTACCGAGTAATTGCACAAAGGTGAGAGTCTTGTGCCTTTGCAATCTTCAGATATTCCTGCTTTATGTCGACATGATATTCTAGGCCCGTTGGATTCCTTTGGCAGTAGACTTCATATGAAACTTCAATTGTAACTAAACATTTCGAGGATGTCATTGGCTTTCTGTATGTGCAATCATTTGAAGCATCTACATTAAAAGTTGTCTTTTAAGGAGGTTTTTAGTGATACTGTCACAAAGAAGTTTATATCGAACTATTTAAATTTAATGTGTAAGATGTTTCCCCCGATTGTTCAGTGGCAAAGCAAGTTTCTGTCTCCCTTGCTCCTATTCACAACCTGTTTTTTGTCATCAGTTTCCCTGGAAATGGATCATGATTTCACAAATACAAATATTGTGGCTACCTGTCTTCTCAAGGGGATGAAACTTGTGATTGAAGCACAGTTGCTCAAAAAAGCAAAGAACATGCAACATGTGATATAACCAGACTTGTAGTCTTTTTATTTTTAAATAGTGTTAGCACATCTGTGTGTGTTCATTTCTGATCTATCTACATCAACAGCAATAATGTCCCCATCAAATTACTGCTGGGTAAAACTCTGCAGTTATAGTGCAGGAGGGGAAAATAGCCTTTTTACTTATTCACTCTGAAACTCCTGCTTGAAAATTCTCTTTTGGCTTGGTTTTGCAAAATTCGGGGGGGGGGGGGGAAAAAAATAATTTGGTTCATCGTGTTGAAGCATGGCTGCCCTGCCTTAAACCAGAACTGCATGAGATGCTGGATGTTCTGTGAATGGAGCTCCCAGCATTTTTTCTATTAAGAAAAAACAATTAGGCATGGGGGGGATGGTTCTGATGAGTACCATGAAGCCTACCAGTGGAAGCTCTACGGGGCCATTTCAGGTTGAGAAAATGGAATGGGGGAGGGCTTAAATCCATCTCCCCTCATTCCACAGCTCCAATTAGAACTGGACCCCCACATAACTTGCTTTCTTTGGGGCAGGCGGCTGAACACTGACAGCTCAATTCATGGAACTCCCACTATCTTGTGTAGGTCTGTCCTTAAATGCAGTTGTAAAATTCAAAGGCACTAGATAAAGTTTGGCTTAAGAGTTCCACTGTTCTCAAAAACGAGACATTTGGCCCTTTGCCTTTCTGTAAGTCAATTATGTTCTGAAAGCATGGGTTGGGTCCTACCCAGTCTTCACTGATGGAAAGAATTTCCAGACGTGGAGTGGGATTTCTGCATGTAGATTCTTTTCTGCCGCAACCCCAAATGCCCCTTGAAATGTTCACAGGAGACGGGACTCCAAGGAACAGAGGAGTCACATCTGCTGCAACTGGTGTATTATCAACAGCAAAAATTTTCTTCTGGATCCAACTCCAAGCTTTTGCTGTGACAAGGGTTATTGGCCTAGTTTACTGAACTCTCCTTAATTTGTATGCTGACAAAAGCAAGAGTTGCAGGCTAGCCACATATAAGACTACCACACCTTCACTTGCTCCTGTGCGCCTAGGGTACAAATACAATTTAGAGGGGCAGGAAATATCCTTAGTTGCTGTTCTGAGCTATTATTGTCAACTGCTGTTGTACATATACTGTTATGTGTAAGGGGGTAAATATATTTATTATGTTTGTAAAATTCAGTCTGTACAATTGAAAATCAAGGATGCTTTTCCTGGGATGTACAGGACGTGTTTCAAAGGCCATGCTGGGAATACAATTAGAATACTTAGTATTTTGATGTACTAAGACCTATTTTAAGTTTAATATTTTGCCTTTGCAAAAACTTTAATTAAAGATGTTATTTAAAATAAGCTTGCCACTTTTATTTACTATTTTATGTATTAAAATACTTTTTATGTGTAGTACAGTTGTGTTTACTTTATTGTGACCATTCTGCAGATGACAGGATTCTGAACATTTCAATCAAATCCGGCAAAGAAGGTGGCATTTCAGTTACAAAATTTGTATAAGCCTTGAGAAAATGATCTCAAACCACTTATCTTGTTTACAAATTTAAAAGCTTGAAAAGGTGGTTGGCCCATGGAAATTCATAGCACATGATGGTGCTACTTCAAGACCTTCAAGAGGTCAGTGCTATTATTTGCATTAAGAAGACACTCCAGATAGGAAAGAGATGGCCATAAATCATCAATCTGGCTCTGAATCAAATGGAAGGTACCATATTTTGAAGTACTGTCATTTGGGGTTAATGCCAAGATGTTCAATAGCATCTTCTGGCTGTCACCTAGTGATTCTGATCTGATGGAGCGGGCACAACAGGCAGGCCGTTGGCATGTCGAGGCTGCAACGGCTCTTAAAACGTGTAATCTTTTGTGGATGGGCTAAAACTGAAACAATTCGCTGAAGCATAGTAGTTATAATTTGATAATGTGGAATTTTTATTTACTACCATCCCCCCTAGATGGCAGCAGAAGAACAAAAAGCAAAGTACATAAACCCCAGCAGAATTTAGAAGAAAATACAAGAAACATGACAGATGTTGAGTTTGCAGAAGGCTGTAAAGTCACAATGGGTGCCAAAGGCCTGCAGAAATACCGTGACGCATTCCCGAAGATGGTTAAAGCAGCCATTTTGTATATTGCCCAATATTTGGGGCTGGATAGAATACTTTGAAGGAAAAGGTCCCTGAAGAAAAAGCAGGAAT